CAACATTCACTTATTCAAATATTGTTGTAGACCCCTTTATCAACATTTAACTACCGAATGTTGTCTTTTATGTGTTGCAAATTATCATTTTTGGTGTAGTGTTTGATACATGGTTTTGCACCTTAATTTTCGGTTTGAATATAGTAGAATCCTTCTACTTCATAAGGGAGCTTGGAGGAGACACAAATTTAGACCTAGGGTTCGGTGAATTGAAGAACAAGAATTGGGGATCTCGAAGTTCACGCTTAAAGATTCTACAACCTTCTCTTTTCTCTATTTTGGTTATGTCGAGCTACACTCTTATTTGTTTGATTACTTTGAATATATAGCTAAATTTTCATTAGCTAGGACGGTGATGTAAATCACTCTTTTGAAAACTTAGTTTAATTTTTAGTTTTGAACTTCAAATGTGAATAGTGATTGATCACTTGTTATTGATTTTAATACATTCAATTATTTAGCCACTAGTTAAACGATTTATGGACTTATTGATATCGAGGGGTGATATTCATGTTTAAATCAAATAATTAACAAGTACATAAGTAGTAAAAAATAAAAAGTAACATAAATCTCGAGAGCAGAAATAGATTTTAACTTTATTTGAGAGAAACTTTTAAATAATGTCTTCAAAATAAACAAGTATTATCGATTAGGTGATTGTTTGAATTAAAGTAGATAAGTATATAGGTAAAATCAAAGTTATATTTGAAACTTCTTCAAAGTTCAAAATTATTTTTAGCTTAACTTTAAGTAATTTTTTAGTTAAAATCAAAATCCAATTAAAACTTGGTATAAAGACTATTTGGTTTGATTCATAACTAATAAGTTCTAGTGGAATCAACACTCTATTTGCTCTTAACTACTTGTCTACAATCCCGTGCACTTAAGATTTTTAAGCGACAAATGACAAATGTGTCACACATTACTAAACTAAAAGACAAGTTGAAAATCGAGAATTTTAAATTGCTAAGAATTTTTCTAGGACAATATAACAAAAGACCATTGCAAGATGTTCTTTTTAGTGAATGAGCACTTCTTGTGAAAATTAGTGAAACGAGTACTTTTAAATGAAATTACTGAAAACACCCATAATGTTATAATTTTTCATAAAATTCAACCATTACTTGATAGGTGCACACTTTAGTCAAATCTTGAAAGTCACCAAAAAAAAAAAAAAAAAAATATCATTCTAGGAGATCTTTTGGTGGCAAGCTGATAGTTCGACAAATTAAGATGGTTAAAACTATTTTCATTTTTTGAGATGGTTAGAGTTGTGTCCTTAGATGGTTAGAATTAGGCCTGGGCAATTTAACTGGAATTGAATCTTGCGAATCGAAATCAGAGGTGCCAATCTGATTCTCAAAAAAAAAAAAAATTAGGGACCAAAATCGAGAATCGGTAACTGACCGGATTCTAATTTGTATTTATAATTTATAGATTGCATAATAAAATACAAAATATAAAAACCCTAATTTGGATAGTAATTTGTTTAAAAATGTAGACTTTAACTCGAAGAAATATAGTCTGACTCCTACTTTTTTCCTTATTGCCTCACATTAGATTGTTGTATTATAGAGGTTAGTACATATTAATCTTTACAATTTGAACTTTTTATGAATCAAAAAGTTCAAGTTAAGTTGTGGTGTAAGTTGATGAATCAAAGTGTTCCTTATTTAGATTTACTTGTAAAATTATTTTGTGGGGGAATGGGTGATTGAAAATGAGTATTGGAAAAATGAGTTTTTGAAAAAATAGAGTCCAAATTGGTTTATCTTGAGTTCGTGGTTCTCTTTTGAAATATATATATTTTTTCTTTTCTATTCAAATGTAGTGAGTTCAATATGTCAATTGTGATTTCTTAATATTATATAGTTATGTATTTAATTAGTATTTTTTTTGTTAGTTCATTTTAAAAGTAGAAGAATTCATAATTAAATTATAGGGTTTAGCATGCCCCACTTTGGATCGAATAAGATTTATTAATAAAAAAACAATTTTTTCTCAAATTGTAATTAAATTTTTGATGTTTTAATTTTCTTCTCTTTTCATAGTTTTTAGTCTTCACTATTTTGCTTCTTGAAGATTTATTAGCTGAATTTTCTCAATTGCACAAATATTGTGAGTAGTAGCGTGTTATGTATATAATAAGTACTAAAAGAGTCTATATGAAAATATCTATTAAATGTATTTAAAAAATGTTATGGGCAGAATCGAATCCAAATCAAAACCGCCAGTTCAGGTTTGGGTTTGGTTCTATCATTATAATGACCCGAATTATTCTATTTACGAAATACTTGAATTATAATATGTGGTTCCGAGTTAAAATATTCAGATCGATCCACCCGACGCCCAAGCCTAGTTAGAATTGTCTTGCGTCCCAATAATTGTCTCGAAAAATGAATATTCTCTTGAAAAATTTCAAGATTGGCTCAAGCAACTAAAATCTTTATCTGAAACTAAATAGCATAAATCAGCTTTAGAATTTTGATTATTTGCTATAGCTAAGTCTGGGATATAATAAGTGAGTTAGGTTAGAGTGGGACATATTTCTAGGGTGTTTGGAGTTATTTGGACTAATTAACATACTTACATAATAGCAAAGTTCAAACATCTTAGCCCCCGGAGCACAGCTCAACTAGTGGATCAATCAACATTGTCTTGCTTCCAGCGACAGTGTGGAGAGTTCGATTCCTGGTGGGAACCTGCGGCCAAATATTTGGTATGGAGCAATCATTGTGGAGGAGGGTCTCTTGTGCGCCAAAGTGTACAGGCAATGGGAAGAACCTGTGATCCAGTTGAGGCATAACCCGCGATTTACTCCCTCCGAGGTTTTAGGGGCAAGGGTCTTGGGGGTCCAGAATTTAGTTTGGTGTAAGTTGGAATACCTAGATATCAAAAAAAAAAAAAAGTTCAAACATCTTACATTGTGTGGACCAATTATGGTACCAGTCCAAGTACGCATGTAAATGTCATCAGCATCATCCATTCCATAGCAAACAAAACCATCCCCAATACCCTTTGCCCCATGTTGAAGTTCCTCCAGCAACTTGAAGTTTTGAGGAACTATCAACAAATCAGCGGTGGTGCCAGAGATTCTTTATTTTCAGATCAAAGATTAAGGTTATGGAATACTCAAATACATCTAAACTCGCCATATCTCTGGAGTATATAGAAGGCCGAAAGTACTATGATATAGTATTGGTAAAATTCGGTTCTATAATCTAATTCAAGGCAAATCAATGGCGAACAAATAAAAAATGTCATCTCAAATCAACATTATATGATGTATGAAATTGCCTTTGTTGCAGCCAAATCAACTCCTTACACTAACAAATTCAACAAATATAAACAACCAATTCATATCTGAGATTACCAAGTGCACAAAATATTTCAAATGATTGAATAAAGCCCAGTTCAAATGTACCCAAAAAATGCAGGGACACACTGCAGAAAGCACACGATTAAAGAAGAGGGATAATAAAAAATTTCATAAAAGGTAAGTCATTTTAGCTATACCTATAATGAGTTGATAGTGAAATCAAAGAAGAAAATTACATTTTATTCTAATGTCTGTTAGGTATTCAAGAAAATTTCAAATATAATAATATCTAAATGCAACATAGCCAAGGTGAGAGAAGTGTTTATGAGGCTATTTATGTCTCAAAGAACGCAAATCACCTCCAAAACAGTACTCAAAAACAACACAAGAAGTGAGAGGCTTCAAATTCTGCATAAAATGTAGGCAAATAGAGTTTTACTACATGTACAACTAATTTGATGAGCCATAATATGGTAGGTGCAGTTTGGTCATTGATTTGAATATTTATTCAAATTAAAGGCCAAGATGTTTATACCTCGTGAAGTATCAAAATTTTGTACAAAACCATTGTACAAGTAGTTCAACTCTTGGAAAAAATGGATAATATGAAAGTCTCAAGATTTTTCTATCAATTTCAAAGGGCTGCAAATATATCTCCCAAAATGAAGATTCCAAAGGGTCAAGAAATCTCACCTTCTCCTTGACCCAAAGGGTTAAAAACTAAAGCTACAAGGTCAAATTACTGTTGGGTCAGCTGACCCCACATGTAGGTTCGCCAGTGCAACAAACATTTTTTTTTTTCTTTTTAATATATGTCTCCTATACATAATGCATTTTACTTCCTAGGATCTATCTTCTTGGATAACATAGAAAAGGTCAAGCTGTCTTTTACAACAGCTCCAGTCAAATGTTATGTATGTCCTTTTTGTATGGCATCACGACTTATTGTGCTGAAAAAGGGGGAAAAAAGGGTGAATTAATATTCTTCAGAAACCATGTAATTAAATCCATGAAGAACATGAACTAGGCAGCAACTCCAAGTTCTTGAGTGCAAAGAAGAAAGTGAGTTATAAGTAACGAAGTTTTTTTTATCCAAAATACAGCAGTGCCTTATACATTCAAAAAATTGAACTAAATATCAGCAAATATCATTTTGAGTTCACTATGATTCCGTGAAATGAAAATAAGTGAGCTTTAGAAGAAAAACCACACTCCCTTAGCCCATGTCATCTAGATCGAGATATAAACTTTGTGACCAGAAAAAGAACTTCTCCAATGTACCTAATATGATCGAATATGCAAATTGCTTTATTATATTCCAATGTATCTGCCGTTTGCCATATCTTAATTTGGTTGTTTCTCACTTTTACAATTGATTTGTCACTCATCACCACGTGATTGCGTTTTGAATTGTCTAGATAATAATGATATTACTTGTATAGAAATTTGCGAGCTTACTTTTTTCTGAATATTGGAGAGAATTCAGACCAAGATGGCAATGAAAAGCTGAAAGTCACAAAGAGGTTGATACACCATATTCGCCAATTAATGATCAGTGATTTTAAAGGAACTAGATCTCTACTTGTCTTTTATTTCCATTCAACAGCTTTTAAGTCGCCGATCAAGGTGTATTAATGAAAACACACAAACAACTACCATTCATTCAGTAAAGGACAATATGTAAAATATCAAAAAATACAGTTGACTTTCTTCCATTGCCTTGTAATAAAATAATATTTATTTAAAGTCAAGAGAAATTAAACATTAGAACTTAACAGGGGAAAAAAAAAAAAAAAAATGCAAAACATATCCAGGAAATCTTTGCTTGGAGATTATTCAAACATGGAAAACTTGGAATTCGCAATTGTGATGCCCCCATCAACAAAAAGGTTGTGTCCATGAACACACTTCGACTCATCGCTTGCCAAGAACAGAACAGCTTCAGCCACATCCTCTGGTTTAAGGTAAACACCTTTGAGAATAGAATATACAGTACCGAATTCCTCATCATCCATTTTATAGAAATCCTTTGATTGCCGTGTAGGAACTACGTGTGGCGACACGCAGTTTACTCGAATGCCATATTTTCCAAGCTCCACAGCCATATTCTTCGTGAGTCCCACCACCCCGTGTTTCGAACTTACATAATTGTGCGAAGAACCACCGCCTATTTTCGAACAAGTGCTCGCTGTCGTGATTATGTTCCCACTGCGATTCGGGATCATTACCCGAGCAGCGTGTTTAGCACCCAAGAATGCACCTACGAGGTTTACATTAATAATCTTTTCGAACTCAGATTTTTCGATGTCAAGAATGCTGGGATTTGGTACTCCACCTATACCAGCATTATTGTGCAGAATATCTAATTTCCCAAATTTGTCAACAGCTGTGTTAACTGCCGTTTCTATATCGGATTCTTTAGTTACGTCACAGTGGACATAAGAGGCTGATGATTTACCCAATTCCTTGCATACCTTCTCTCCCAAATCGTCGTTGACGTCTGCAACCAGAACTTTAGCTCCATGTTTGGCGAACAATCTGGCAGTTGATTCGCCGATTCCAGTAGCAGCACCGGTGATTAGAGCGACCTTGCCTTCCAGTCTAGTTTCAAACATTTCGTTAGTACAATATTCATAACATATCAAAGTAAAATGCCTCAAGAATCAAAAAATAGTTCACAATTTTTTACCAGAAAGCATTATGAACAATGAAAGAGTTATACCTTCTAATGAAAGAAGCCATTTACGAACTTAACGCAATGAACTTTAACGCGGTGAACTTCTTTGCGGTGAATGAATTGATAATTTTTCTGCACTTTTTAACGTCTTTTATAGTGCAAATTCTGAAGACAGGACATCTACGCGCAACTAGGCATTAATTTCTAACTAATATGAAAAATCTCTCTCCTCGTCATTTCCAACGCAAGTGGGCATTTATATTTTTTGACTAATTTGATTTTGCAGATAATTATTACCTCTTTCCTCGTCATCTCCAACGCAAGTAGTCATTTTCTTACTAACTAATACGATTTTTAAGATATTTGTTCTCTCTTTCCTCGTCAGATCCAACGCATTCTGACTAATGTTCTCTCTTTCCTCGTCATTTCCGACGCATTTCTGACTAACCTCATTTTTCAGATAATTTTTACGTGCCTAATTTTTTTCATGTTATTTGTGACTATTTAGAAAATAAAATTGGTCAACTTATTAGTCTTGTGAGTCGCATTATAGTCGTAGCATGATAGCTCGGTCCATTTATTTTATTTAAGTATTGTTGGAGAAGAAATAATATATCAATATTGGACTCATTCTGTAGCTCACATTGAATAATGTATGTTGTGCTCAAGAAAAAGTAAATTCATATAAATTAAGCCCAAGTCACAATCATTCAAAGAAATACGTTTAATGAAAATTACTTAATAACTTAAGTTTTAAGATAATTAGCATAAGATAATACTTATTTTATTCTGTTTTTCAGAATGTGCATAAACGCTTTCTTTTCTGTTTCCTTTAAGGAAGAAAATTCAAATTCTTAAATTCAAATCATTTATTGTTTGGTCGTCTCTTTCATTCTTCTATTGTTAGATAAAAGAGAACGTACACTCCAACCACTCACCTACAAAGCTTTGTTCACAATCTAATTTTTTTTTTTTTTTTTTTTTTTTTTCTTTTTGCCTTTTTTTTTTTTTTTGTTTTTCATTATGCCATTTTTGTTATTGTTGACCTCGGATTTAAATTGATTTCTATTCCGTATATTTCTTTCAACATTTGAATTTTTTTTTAGCCATATTCTCATATCCTCGATTTCGAAGAAAAGGATTATATTCCTTAAGATGGACTCGTATCCGAATTTAAGTATCATATCAAAGAGATCCACGCTAAAGAACCTGAAATAAAAAGGTTAAGGTAATTTATCGTTGTCCAAAAAATATGTACTTATTCATTTTATTATCGAGTTATGCACCTTTGGGTTACATCTATAAGCAAGGGAGAATGTACCAAGTTTCAATGTCTACTGTAATTAATAAACTAATACATTTTAGTACAATGGCTAATCACATTAACATCATCATTTTTACTAACAATTTAATGTAATTTAAGAATTAACATAAACGTCAAAATCACTACAATCTAATGCGATACAGCTAGTATATATGAGTACAATTTAATAATTTAATAATAATTTTAAAATTATTATCCACGCATCCCAGTTGTGTTTTTAAAATTATTATTAAATTATTAAATTGTACTGTTAAATACTAGCTGAACATCATTAGACTGAGTGATTTTGGCATTTAGGATAATTCTTAAATTGCATTAACAATGTTAGTAACAATGATGATGTTTCTTTAACAATGTTAGTAACAATGTGATTAACCATTGTACTAAAATGTATTAGTTTTTAATTACAAAAGACAATGAATCTTGGTGCCTTCGCCCTTATAGATGTATACCAAAGGTGCGTGACTCGATAAATAAGATGAATAAGTACACATTTCAATTGGGCAATAATAAATTACCTTAGCCTCCCTTCTTCTTCTTCTTTTTATTTTACTATTATTAATTTTTTCAGATTCTTTAGTGTGAATCGCTTAAATTTGGATACGAGTACATATTTAGAAATATGATCCTTTTCATCTATAGTAGAGGATACGAGAAAACGACTAATTTTGGACGATGTGTACGTCTTTCAAACTTAATTTTTTTTCTTTCGAAATTTATATATTAAAAATTAGCCTCAACTTGGCCAAATTTATAAATTATTTATAAATGATCAAACTTCATTTTCAATCAACATTTCAACGGATCCACAAGAAGTATTCACTTATCCACCAACCATTTTTATTTATTTATAAATTGTTGGAATTTTAAAATTCGATTTTTCTTCCATTTTGTTCCATATCCATCATTTAAGGAAACAAAAATTAACACACTGGAAAGCATAATTTGTTACCCACATCTATGATCTATCTTATCTTGATTTAAAACAAACAATGGAGTACAATTAAGATAGAAGATAAACCTTAATCTTTTGTAATATAATAATTATATCTTATGCTAATTATCTTTAAAAAATTATAAAATAATATTCGTTAAATACGTTTCTTTGAATGATAGTAAATTAGGCTTAACCTATGCGAATTTACTTTGCACACCCTACCTTTTTTAATGTCAACTACCAAACAAGTCAAATATTATTATATTTTTTCTTCTCCTAAAATACTTAACTAAGCAGAATAAAGCAAGGACGAAGCTGCAATGCCGGGGTGGGGGTTGAACCCCCACAGGCTCCTCACAATACAAGGGGTTGGCGTTTTTGGGATATTTTTTAATGAGACATGTGAGAGGCCTCGTGAAATGGGGCCTATACATTCAATTTTATTCATAAAGCAAAAGGATGGATTGAGTTGTCATGGTACCTTAATGTAATTGACGAAGCTAATAAGTGAATTGATTCTATTTTCTAAAACATACAAAATTAAGCACGTGAAAATTATTTGAAGCATTACGATAATTAATTATTGTGGACACAGGTAGGTGGAAATAGACAACAATTATCTAAAAAAATCAGATTATGAAGAAATACCTAATTCCATTGCAAATGACGTGGAAATTACGTGGAAAGATATAATAAATATTTGAAAAAATCAGATTTAGTTAGAATAAAATGCCTACTTGCGTTGGAAATGACGTGGAAAGAGCGTACAAAAATCAGATTTTTTTAGAAATAAATGCCTACTTGCGTGTAAATGTCTTTATCCTCTTCATGACTACATTATAAAAGACTTTAAAAGGTGCAAGGAATTACCAATTCACATTCGCAGCAAAGAAGTTCACTATGGAAAGTTCATCAATGATTTAGACTTTTGTTAGAAGGTATAGCCCTTTAATTGTTCATACTGCATTCTGATATTTCCATGTTCATTTCTCCTGTTTCTCTTAACTTAAGTAAATATTGATTTTATTACAAGGCAATTGTAGAAAGCCAACTATATTTCCTGATATTATAGATAATGTCCTCTAGTAAAAGATAGTTCTTCGAGTATTATCATTAATACACATGGATCGAGACTTAAAGGTTGTTGAATTATGTAGATACAGTTCCTTTGAAATCATTGGTGATTAATTGACGAATATGGTGTATCAACCTCTCTGTGGTTTCTAACTTTTCATTGGCATGTTGGTTTTATTCTCTTCATTATTTAGAAAAAGTAAGCTTTCGAATTTCTATGCAAGTATGTATATATATACCATCATTATTGTCTAGACAATTCAGCATATAATCACGTAATGTGATTGAATGACGACTGAATTATAAGAATGAAGAAATTTTGGTTGAGAATTTTTATACTGGCATGGACTGCCCCATTTAAGTGACTAATGAACAAAATTGATTTGTTAAGATGTGATTAAATATTTGAAGAGTTGCTTGATTTGGCTAAACTTTGATGTTGATGAAAAATACAACTGTTTTATTGATTCTGGTGCTGTTTCATTTGGCTAAACTTTGATGTAGATGAAAAATACAACTGTTTTATTGATTCTGGTGCTGTTATCGGTGATGAAGCCGGGGCGGTGGTGGCAGCTCAATGGAAGAAAACAGTTGGACAGTGCAAGTTGAGAAATGGGTTCATTCTTGCAAAGGAGAGTGGATTTCAAATTGCAGTGCTTGAATGACTTCCTCATAGTAGTTCAAATTCTTTGAATTGAATTATTTGTGTCCACCAATTTCAATCATACATAGGGAGATGCAGGTGGGTTGATGTGGGGTAAGCTGACCCCACAATTTTTTATTTTTTATTTTTGAATTCTTCTTATTTTATTTATTTATTTTCACTTTTTATCTTATCTGCACCTCAACTTGTCCCAAACTTCAAATTCCAATGCACCTAAAATTGTCATTTTTCACCAAATAATTTATATTTGTTTCTTAGCTGGTTTGCACAGACGCCAATGAACAACCATGTTGATTAGATTTTTTATGGACTTATGGTCCAAATATTTTTCAAATTTTTATAATTTTATTGAGATATATTGGTGGATTCTTGCGCTTTTGAGCATCTCGGCCGACTTATTTGTTAGAAAAAAAGGTTCCTGCTTTTTGCTAAATAAATTAAGTTCATACTCTATAATTGTATTTTTGTTGAAGAAATTTGTGCCGATTTCAGTTTCGACTTCGATCTCATTTCCGAAGGAAGCAATGACCTACCCTAACTTGGTGGTTTTGGGTTATAGGAATATTAGAATTCATTGTTGGATACTTATTTTTATGAAAATTTTTTTCCTATTGTGCTTTAAGTAGAACATAGCACTGTGTAATTTGCCCATTGAAATTGATTTTATTTTTATGGTTTCAATTAATAGAATAACATTCATTTATTTTTTGAGTTTCACATCAAACAACCATGGAAAAATAATGTAAATGAAAATCTCTATATTCGAGTGAAGAGTAAAATATTGGTGAAACGAATGTTCAAGTGAAAAAGGCATTTGAAAAGTATTATTTGTAACTTAATTGTTGACCCCTCCATAAAAAAAATGTCCAGCTCTGTAACTGGTTGCTATGGTGTTATTAGATATTAAGTCTTTACTTGTCCATACAAATTGCGGTATTTGCTATTTCATTTCTCGTGGGGGAATATGGTAGCCACAATGTAGTAATAGCTTTCTTTTCGATTTACAGGGTTGGTATTGATAGAATGATTGTATATTCATCATTTTTTACAAATTGAACCAACTTTAATTTCAAATCTATCTAAACCAAATCACCTTTTTCGATTCGGTTTGATTTATTACAAGTATTACAAACCAAAGTTATACACTTTTAATCATTACAATGCAACAACATAATAAAAATAATTTAGTTTTAACTTCTTATTTGATACTAATTGGTGCAACCATCTTTTCACTTAATGAACTATTAAAGAAATCAAGAATCCAACCACTAGTAGGGAGTGCAGACTGAGAAGCAATTGCGAATATTTGAATTGCTAACATAATTTTACCAATTTGGGAGACAATTTTGTACTTATTTCCATTCAATTTTCGTCAAAGTAATATGTCGAAAGTTTTAATTGGACAAGTCTTCACAACGACCATTTAAGTACTTCATCAAATCATTCTAACAATTAACGGTAAAATTATAAAATAAATTTTAAAAAAAATAATAAATTGAGTGACTTGACCAGGAAAGTAAAACGTATATAAATAAAAAATAATGTTCAGCTAAAAATTTAAGGACTTCCACACAAATCGAACAAAGCAATACAACTACCAATAGATATAGCAAATAGTTACCAAAAAAATAAGAAAATTAGGTAAACTGGCTTGAAAATTAAGCCAAATTGGAGAAAAAAATATCAGTAAAAGGAAGAGAAATGATGCGAGTTTGGATTAAAATTTAGATTTAATTATCTAATCAATTGTGATGGGCTACTGATAAATATATTTCAACAGCAATCATTCAGTGCTTTAGCCAATTTGAAGGTTTTACATTCACAATTTTGATCACTAATGGGTAATAGAATATGGTTTAATTAATTAATTGTTATGGTAATAGTCTATTTGGGTTGGGTCTAACACGGATGTATCGTTTTAATTGTGTTGGATATAATTTAAATTAATTTATTTTGAGATTAAAACAGTTTGCATTAATTGAAATCTAAATCAAATGACTTCGAAGCGACTTGATTCGATTCAAAATCAAAATGTTGATGAACAAGTTATTTCTCTATAATGGGAATTCATGCTTTGATCCTTCAAAATATTAACTATTAAAACCAAGTACTCATTGTACTCTTATATATTAGCTGTATTGCATTAGATTGTAGTGATATTGACAAGTTGGCAATGATAGGGACATTGCCCAAATCAAATTACAAGACAAGCGTAGTGATAAGAAAATTACAAATATCGACGTGGAAACACATCACACTGAGCTGGAAAAGGGATTTAGTTATAATTAATGCCTACTTGCGTCCGGATATATGATTGTTTTGTGTCTTTAGCAGTCCTTGCACTATAAATACGTTTACAAGTGCAGAGAATTACCAACTCATATTCACAGCAAAGAAGTTCTCAGGATATTTGAACTGTGGGAAGTTCATTAATGGCTTCGACTTTTGTTAGAAGGTATAACTCTTCAATCGTTCATACTGCATTCTGATAAAAAAATTTGTAACTAGTATATAATTCTTGAGGCATTTACTTCTAATAAATTGAACTTTTTTCTCAGAGTACAAGTGCATGTTATTTTGATACTTGGGTTGGCAATTGTCACAAAAGTTTTCAGTAGACTATTATAAATATGTTGTACTAACAAAATATCTGAACCTAGGCTCCAAGGCAAGGTAGCACTAATCACAGGTGCTGCTAATGGAATAGGCGAGTCAACCGCCAAACTGTTCGCCAAACATGGAGCTAAAGTTATGATTGCAGACATCAATGATGATTTGGGAGAGAAGGTATGCAAGGATTTGGGAAAATCATCAGCCTCTTTTGTCCACTGTGATATAACTAATGAATCAGATGTAGAAACTGCAGTCAACACAACTGTTGCCAAATTTGGGAAATTAGATATAATGCATAATAATGCCGGTATAGGAGGGAAAGCAAATCCAAGCATTCTTGAAATCGAAAAGTCGGAGTTTGAAAAGATTATTAATGTAAACCTCGTAGGTGCATTCTTGGGTGCTAAACACGCTGCTCGAGTAATGATCCCGAATCGCAGTGGGAACATAATCACAACAGCGAGTACCTGTTCAAAAATAGGGGGTGGTTCTTCACACAATTATGTAAGTTCAAAACATGGGGTGGTAGGACTCACAAAGAATATGGCTGTGGAGCTTGGAAAATATGGCATTCGAGTAAATTGTGTGTCGCCACACGTAGTTCCTACCCGTCAATCTAAGGAATTCTACAAAATGGATGATGAGGGATGCCGTGGTGTGTATTCCATCCTTAAAGGTGTGTTTCTTAACCCAGAGGATGTGGCTGAAGCTGTTCTGTTCTTGGCAAGTGAAGAGTCAAAGTTTGTGACTGGACACAACCTTTTTGTTGATGGAGGCATCACAATTGCAAATTCCAAGTTTTGCATGTTTGAGTAATCTCTATAATACATTTCCTAGATTATGTTTCTCCCTGTTCAGTTCTCATGTTTAATGTACCTATCTCTCATGTTTGTCTGAACTTTAAAAAATAAAAATAAAAAAATATTAATGTTATTATTACAAGGCAATTGTAGAAGTTTTTCTGATATTTTAGATAATGTCCTCTAGTAAAATGGCAGTTGTTTGAGTATTATCATTAAAACACGTGGATTGAAGCTGTTGAATGAAAAATAAAAAATATGTCGATCTAGTTCCTTCGAAATCATTGGTTATTAACTGGCGAATTTGGTGTATCAACCTCTTTGTAACTTCTAACATATTGGTCTTATTCTCTCCATTTTTCAGAAAAAGTAAATCTTTTTTCATTCAAATAGAGCAACTTGACAGTCCCCTCTCTTTGTATTTTGTGACATTGGTGGCCAGTCGAACTGTCAAAATTTCCTACATGTGACCAACGCGTTTGTCACGCAATATAGAGCTAACTTTCATAGCTAGACGCTACAACTGTTTTGTAATATACTAGCGTGGATTGCTTTAGATTTTAGTGATTTTAACATTTATGACAACTCTTAAATTGTATTAAAATTGTTAGTAACAATGATGATGTTAATGTAATTACCACTGTACTAAAATGTATTAGTTTTTTTAATTACAGAAGACAATGAAAGTTGGTGCTTTCTCCCTTTGCCTATAGATGTAAACCAAAGGCACGTGATAAATAAGATGAATAAGTACATATTTCAATTGGACAATAATAAATTACCTTAGCCTTTTTATTTTGGATTCTTTAGCATGGATCTCTTTGATGTGGTGCATAATTTCAAATACGAGTACATATTTTGGAATATTTTTCTTCGAAATTTATATATTAAAAATTAGCCTCTATTTGGGAAAATTCATAAATTATTTATAAATGGTCAAATTTTATTTTCAATAATGCATTACAATAGATCCACAAGTAATATCCACTTATATACAACGCATTTCTATTAATATATAAACTAAAACGCTCATACATTCTTCCCAGACAGAGGCTCAGATGTATTTTGTAAGCTTACATATGGCATGTTTGACATGTAAACTTAAAAAATATAATTGTAAATTGTAATATTTCGTTTAAAAATTAAAACATAAAGTCAAAAAATTAAGCAGGGTGGAGCCATGAAATGATTTTGGGTTGGCTAAAATTAAAATTTATAAATAAGTTCACACTACGAGAGATCGAGTTTAGGAGACTGTGCTCATTACATTCATGGCTAATATTATCAAACGCTCAATGAAGTACACGTTTAGATGTTCATCCTAAAATGTCCAACTAGATATTAATCTTATTTTTTTAGAAATACGTAATTCACACTCAACTTAGAAAATAAGTGTAAAAACCGACAAGGAATTTCAAAGGTAAAAAAATGATTTATTTCACATCCATATTTGATTCAGCTTCCATAATACACATATAATTTGATTATTTAAAAGTAAAGAAGTTCTTATAAATATTATTTTTATTATAAGATTAATTATAAAGTAAGTTACTTATTTTAATAGTAAGATCTATTTCATGGTCAAAATATGTAAATTTCTTGCTTATGAATATCATGAATATATTATATTTGAAAATAGTTTTATAAATAAATAATAATAATTACTTTAACCTTTGCCAAACATTTAGTGTCAAAATATGTTTTCATGTGGTTGAAAAGCATTCTTTTGTTTGTAAAATAACTTATTTGTGTTGGTTGAACTTATGTCTGTTGGTTGAGGGAATGGAAAGTATTTGTTACATTGGTTGGTACATTTTATTTATATGATAAATATTTGGGTTAGTTTTTCATCTAAGCTTAAAATAATTAATTAGTTTAATGTTGTTTATCATGGTAGCTTGTACTCAAAAATATTTTAATTTTCATCTTAGCTGAGTTGGAATTAGATTTGTGTACTTATTATAGGTGCTGGTAATCAAATAAATAAATTAAAAAATTAAAAAATTAAATTAAAATTTATGGCTTGCTGTTGGTTTTGCACGCCGTAAATGCTAACGAGGTAACCTTTCATGGCGTGCGATTGCACACCGTTAAAAGGAAAAACTTGCATTTACGGCGTGCAATCACACGCCGTTAAAAGTAAAACTCTCATTTTTTACGACGTACATGTGTACGCCGTTAAAAGGAAAAAATGCATTTTCGCTGCACGTCGTAAAAAATCATATAACTAATAACGGCATTCTAAAATGGCGTACTTTGTAAGCCGTAAAAAGTTGACACTTATTACGGCATTGCTTTATACGGTGTGCGGCCGCACACCATAAAGGTGTTTTTACGGCGTGCTTAAAAAGTCTGTTTTGTTGTAGTGAATAAGTGATTTATTTTAGCTCTGATCTATACAATTTATTTATTATAAAAGTTTATTTACACTCTCTCCGTCCCATATAGGGCCGGTCCTGTGATTTTCGAGGCTCGAGGCGAAGTCCATAAATTGGGCTCCTCCTCACGAAATCAACGTAAATGCAAAATTCAACGGTATATCTTGCATGCTATTGCTAACTTAAAACTTAACATTAAAACAACAAACAAATATATTATTTCAACGATATATTATGCAACCTAATGTCCAATGATTAACCTAAAAGAAATTATGAAATATCTCAATCATTTCACAATTAGAGTTTTCAATATAGTTACTACGCGCGCCTGTACAATTGTTGATCATATAAAACCAATCATATAACCCGACCAGACCACCATTATATAAGCCGACAAGGCTTCAAATATTTCTAACATATTTATTAAGAAGTTAGAGCAAGCCATTACTAATCTGAAAAGTAGAATTTTAACGAAAATTATGGAATAACACATTTTAGAATTCCACCGTCACAACTCATAAGCCTGAAATAAAAATTTTATCATTAGACAATTCCCTATTGCTGCCTTAGCCAGTCAAGAACGCTAAATAATAAACAGATACCAAACGTTGTAGGTTCAAATAGGACACACATTCTTGGATCAAGATGTGTTGAACAAATTCCCATTTTTCATTTTGCAAATCCAATAACATTTTCGATTATTTATGCAAAAATTTGAGCATTATGAATTTACAGAAACAATACAAAAATTAAAATGACATCCAGACTCTATAGTTGTCCCAAAAAAATTGTGACCTTATCTCGATGAAATTAAAGTGGATCGTCGATCGCACTATTACATGCAGGAGGGAAAACGAATGAAAAACCAAATTTTCCTCTAACTCCCTAAACCCTATATATATATATATATATATATATATAAGGTACCAAAATTAGGACCCCTTTGGTTTTGGGCCTAAGGCGTAGGCCTCAATTGCCTCGACCCAGGACCGGCTATGCATAAAGATAATTTTGTTTCCATTTTCATAGAGATTAAGTTAGGAAAAATAAGTTAGAGAAAAGTAGGTTCTTGCAATTTTTGCCAATAAATATGTATTTTTGACACTGAAAGAAGGTCATTTACTCAAATGCAACGTGATGCAGTGTGGTATCAGGTGAGATAATGTGTGTGGGAATGGAAATGAAGAAATAATATTAATACTAGCTGTGAATCTATATTCTTGATTGTGTGAGTCTACTGGACGATACAATGTGTGATGTGGCTCATAGTTGTATGGTACATAGAGAATCTTGAAATTGCATATCACATAATCACGTGCCTATGAAATGTAACGTGCCTAATGGACATAGCATGGTAAGAAATATAATGGTTTGATAGGTTGCACTATGTCGCAAAGACATGACCCCCACACTAGAACTTGACGAGCTATGGCGACCGCTCTTGCTGGCTCAGTCAAAAAAATATATTGGCAACTGCTCAAACAGCCACGCATAATTGAGCTACCATATTAATGTCTCTTACCACCACCACCACCGTCGCCTCCATCTTGGTTGGGAATGATGACAATACTGATGGGGACACCACTGGTGGTGACACTGCTGTTAAACGCACAATCTTGGCTAGACTTGCTTGTTGCAGTAGTTGGTAGCTTCAAGATTGTGGGTTACATCTATAGAGACCACATGAATGCTTTCTTTACACAGTTTCGGGCTTCATTGAAGGTTAATTCTTGCCCATTTATTCACTTTAGTAGATTACAAGATTTGTTATTTGACAACTTTTGGCTTTCTTGAAAGAATAATTTGTTTTAAATTGAAAAGGGGAACGAAAAATGGTTTCTTTTTGCCATGGAAGCTACCATAGCTCAAATAATTGAAGCTAAAATATTGGTTACAATTAAGAATTTTTGGAGAAGATCTCCGAAGTGGGTTTTGGGAAGTATGTTTCTAGTGATGAGTTGAGACAGTAATAGTTTCTTATTGACCATGTATTGGCATTTTGGGTGATATCTCGCTTCCCGTTAGATGGATCCATTTTAGTGATTTGGGTTATATATAGTATGGTTTTCACTTGTCATCCTTGAGAGTTAGCTTGATGCAGCTTTCTTTTGTTTAATCTAGTATTAGTTGAAATACCATTGCAACTGTGACAGGTGAAGATATGGGTTCGAAAGGTATGACGTGTAGGCAGAAATGGTCAATGATCAATGACGTCCTAGCTCACTCCAATTCCTGGACTCGCCATTGCACCATGCGCAAACCTTTAAAAGCTTTCATACAACATAATTAGTACGCATTACTGGTTACTACCCCTTAGAATTATATTTTTCCAAATGTCAGATTTTAAAAGACGGAACTATGATTGTGCACATTCAAGTTACTTCACCCCATTTAACTTATAATAGGAGAGTGTGACCTGTGCCCTACCCAATAATGCATATCCACTCGAACCCGTCAAACCATGGCAATAATAACAAGTACAGAAATTTCATATTGCCCTTAATTAGCCAATTGAAATAGGAAAATATCTTGAGTTAAGATGTTACTTAAACCTGTGAATTCGGTGCACACAAAGCTGGCAAGGATAACCTTAAATAAAGGGAAAAAAAATATAAATTAAACAAAACGTCAAGAAGCAGTCTTGCAACATATTGTCACATGATGAAATAATAGCCTATAAAAATCCTCAACAGAATTGCAAAAACTTGAGTTCCAATGCTCAGTGAAATTGTAGAGTTCAATGCCACACTGCATAGCTAGAAATCACTTGAATTTTATCCCTATTTAGATGCTGAATATGGTGCTCTGCAAACTCAATTCTACCACCAAATATTCTACCAACAGAATCCAATGGCTTATGAACAATTACGACTACTTCAACCAGAGACTGACCAAGTAACTCATACGACTATTTTCTAATATCAAAATATATGGCCTTTGAACAATCATAAGATTACTTCAACGAGAGATTGACCAAGTAACTCGTATGATCATTTTCAAAATCGACACAAATTATTAATTCTAGCCCACCGAATATATGATGTGTTCTTAAGATGAATTTGCCACTACAACAAATATAGCTTTTGTAACACATAAAAGGCAACATTCGTTAATCGAATGTTGCAAAATGTGTCTACTACAACGTTAGAATATGTGAATGCTGCTATTAGTTAAAATAATTGAGATTTGGCAACATTTTTAAGCCGTTGTTGCTAATGTCAGCTTTTTGCAATGTTTATTTAGTGTTGGGAAAAGTTTTATTTTTCACAACATTTAATATCTGTTGTTGAAGGTTCGACATTTCGCAACGTTTTCAACGTTTAGAAAACGTTGCGAAAAGATAACATTTCACAACAGTAGACGAACATTGCAAAAAGATAAATTTACAACAGAATAGAAACGTTGCAAAAAGAGAACCTTTTCGCAATGTCTACTAAGCGTTGCAAAAATATCTTTCACAACGTTTTGGAAAAACGTGGCGAAAGATCAGCCCACATGTAATTGGATCATAAAAAATAAAACTATTTCATGGCCCATCGCGTGACCCAATTCAAACTATTTTATGGCCCATTACAAGACCCAATTCAATTACACCCCAATGGAGACACACAAGACAGCATAATTCAGTTTTCTTGCACTTCTCATCGCCTTCTTCTACCTGCAAACTCGTCCCTCTCACGAATACTTTGCTGGAAAATTGATTTTGATATATGAGTGTTTTATGTTAAGCTTAATATGCTGACTTGATGCTTCAAAATTTGTATATCTTCAAGGTTCTTTTGGATAAAGTGCATGTGTGGTCATTAGGATTTGTTTAGAAGGTTTATGTCATATTTCCAAGGAGCTCTGATTGGTTTTAAACAGGACATGATTAATCTCATTTTCATGTGCTATCAAAAAGATATATTGCTTAATATAAAAGCAGGTGAATTAATTTGCATATTTTACTATACAATATTTAAAAAATTTTAAAAAATATTGGTTAATATAAAAGCAGGTGAATTAATTAAAAATAAGTTTAAAACTGTTGCTAATTAATTAGAGCAATGACAATATTTGGAAAAATGTTGCACATAGGTTAAAGGCAACGTTGAAGAAATGTTGCAAAAAAAGGTAAATAACAACACTTATAAAATGTTGTGAAAAAACTGGTCGTAAGTTTCGGCAACATTTTTAAAGTGTTGCGAAATACTATTTTCGCAACGTTGCAAAAAACTGTTTTCGCAATACTTTAAAAACATTGTGAAACAGAAGTTTCACAACGTTTTTTGAACGTTACGAAATACTATTTTCGCAACGTTCAGAAAACGTTGCCGTATCCTTTCCCTCTTCAGCAACATTTTCTGAACGTTGCAAAAAGCTTACTTCGTTGTAGTGTGCTCAAAGAACCAACTGCAATTAGATTTTGTAGGTGTAAGTACATTGTAATTCCTCTGAAGTTAGTTAGGATTAGGAGAAATTTTCTAATATTTTTGAACTATAAAATTTAGTGCTCTGTGTCATTATTCAACTAACATTTATAGATGTATTCATATCAGGTCTCAATTAGATAGTGAGTCTCAAATATTTAATACACATATCGATTAAATTAACAAGTTTCACATCACCATTTACATCTTTTTCAGATTGATGAGGTGGCAATAAATTGAATTAATCCTATAAAATCTCTTCACCACTTAAACAATTGTGCTCATGTAACGTTCATTAATGGTAAAAAGTGTATTTTATTTGTTCAATCAAATCTAGCCACACAATTTGTTGATAAACAAATTTGTAAGTTGTGATATACGTACAACACAATCGATTAAATTAATATGTGTATCAATTAAGCAGTAACAAAGTGCATTGTGTACACCATACTTCAATAGTATGAAAAAAGTTTACCAGAAAACTTACTTTTAATACTCACACCCCAATGTTGACTCAGAGATGCCTTATGGTACCAAGATTCAATTTAAGTTTCTCCTAAAAAAAATGTTATTAGCTCGAATCCTAAGATGAGATAGAAATTCGTAAGGAATGAGATGATTTTAGACTCTTTCATAGCGGACAATACATAAATTAATGATTTGGGCACAGAGGTTAGGTCATTACAGATCAATGACTAAGATATAAATAAGTTCATTGGCCTCAAATGTGAGAAGTAATGTGCTTTTGGGATCTCCTTTTTTAAATAACTGTTAAGCAATAAGCTTGTGATTAAATGCTTGAATTTGATGGGATCCGCTTGATCCCAAGGAGCATATGAAGTAACTTAATTCCATTAACTTTATATTGCCCTACTATTTATGACTTGTATTTGATTTGTTTCAGTGCAGATTTTCCATAAAACTATTGCAACATACAGTTTCAATATCAGTATCATAGAATAGACGTTACAAAATAAACCAGCAATACACTTGATCAAACTATGAAACTTAAGAGCGAAATGATATTAAAGAAAGAATATATTCGTGTTATGTTTAATATGTTGAATTGAACTGAATCAAACAGGATCAAAAAAGATTTTCATTCAATATCCTATCTAGTACACGTGAATTCAATAGAAAACTTCTTCATTAGTCTCTGCCCTGTGGACAATACAAAAATTCCTTTTTTTTTTAAAGGAAGATAACACCAACAACAATCAAAGAAGCAAAATAGTGAGCAATTGGAGTGAAAAGCAGTAACATTCTTGATGAAGACTTAGCAAAAGACTAATAGACCTTCACTTCTTTGATTTCCTTGTAGTGTCCTCTTGCAGAAAGTCAAGCAAAACAGTGCTCTTACATTTTGGGCATTTCGGGTCCTTTTCCAATAGCATAATATACATGAGACATCGAGGACAACCGACCAGCATCATCGCAGTCGATTCAGGGCTTCGTAGAGTTTCATCCGAGCTAACTTCCAGAGACAAACATGAACTTGGAGATGATATATCTGAAGAAGAAATTGATCGATTGGGAGATTCAACATGAATATATGCCCTTGGTGGGGATAAATTCAGTTTCAAATCAAGCTTTGGACCATTGGCGTTGTAACTCATTTTCTTGAATACCACTGTAGACAAAACCAAATGAATCAGGAATATGACAAGAATTTAGTTCAGTCAACAAGAAACTATATAAATGAGGAAGATAATCAATCAAACAGTAAATCAAAGTCAAGATTACAGTTAAGTAGGCAACTATTTTCAACCAAACTTTGAAATTTCGAGGCTGAGATTCTAGAGGAAGTTTCTGATGGCTCTTTCAAAACGTCAAGGGAATATAAATACAGGAGGGAGGGTGAGAGAGAGAGAGAGAGAAGTATGCAGTAATCTAATTGAATTGAAGTTTAAAGAAGAGGAAAGTGGTAGTAGATAATTATGTATATTCATTGACAGTGAAGAAATCAAAGAAATTTGGTTGCAGTGCGCAAATTAGAGTTAATGTTTGCAACTAAAATTGGCTAATATAGCTTCATTCATTGCTGATAATGTTGGTTTGCTTATTACATGCAATAGGTGTAATTAAAATCCCATCAAAAGGCCTAACTGCCAGCAGCATCACAATTTTTTCCATTTATGAACTCATAAAATATTCATCCTTTTAGAAATATACATCTTTGTTGTGTACTTCCATTCGTTGACCCCATAAGCTAAGAAAATTATATAACCTAGTCGACCAGACAATAAACATGATTATAGCTCGTTTTTCTTCTTATATGCTATCTAGTCGACTTTAGCAAACATGCAGATAATGGTCTCATGGTTCGATTAGATAAACCTCAAAACCCGGACATAGACATTTAAATAGTGTGTATTCCTCCGTATTGTACATATGTAGCTTGCACGAACTGTCCAACATAATGAGTAGAGTAGTACTATTCATACTAACTCACTACGACAGTCGTCCTACGTGTCATACATCCATGTAGGACGACTATCGTAGTGATTGACTACGAATAACATTATTCTTTTGATTAACATTGTTCAGTAGTTTAAACTGTGTTTACGATCTTTATTATTATTTGCTTTTGTACATTTAGGCCATGTTTGATGGTCATTAATTGGCAAAAACAAAGATTTTAATAGTAAAATTTTTTTGGAGAATGTGGTTAAAAGTAAGAAAAAGTTTTGGGTTTACATACAAAATATTTTATTTTGTGAACATGTGATTGAAAATGAGGGAAAAAAAAAAAAAAAGGAGTAGAGCTTTGAAATAAAGGACAATGGGGTGCTTAGTGTTGTTTATGTACCAAAGTACATAGCCGCCTTCTGGTATTGTGTCAAGGATGGACTTTGATTAAGGCTGCGGACTACATTGTAGGTTTGAGTTGCAAAAGTTGCCTCACGGCACTCAACATGTCACGCTCTACGTAAATTACAAAGCACGGATAGGTGTGTCACAAAAGCTTGACAAGCATGTTTAGAATAAAATTCAAAATAGAAAAAGCTAAAAATCTCGTACATATCATAGTAGTTGAAAGTTGTCGATAAATGAAATGAAACCCAAAGTATTCGAAGTAACGTAATATTAAAACTGGAAGAGTTTAAACCAAATGGTAGTTTTTCTCATCATTTTCCATGGGGACATTTTGTGAAGAATAAGCTCTCGCATCGTTTAATCCAAAGAATGACTCTTTTATTTCTGGTGTTAGAAGGCTCCCGTTTCCAACAATGGGAGCCGAACTCCCACAAGAATGCCGTTACCTTGCTTTTTTCTTTTTACTCACAATTTTCCCAGTTTTTCCTTGGAGAAAAGCTTTTGCCTAATGTTACAAATTATGGGAGTACATCTTTAACTACAACTTAAAAGCATAGCCTCCAACACAACTTGTGCTAATTATAATTTCATCATTTACTTCAGATTTATTATCTAGCTCCATAATATTTGTAGCTGGATTAATTAAATGTGACTTAATGAAGACCTAATACGAGTAAAATAATAAATGAGATGGTAACTGCAATAAAATAGTAAGACGAAATAAAATAACGAGATGGCGCTTTATTATTAATACATATTTATGCCTTGCCTATGCTTGAGGTACTTAGTTCAACTAACGTTATTAATGCAAAAGCATGAAATTTCCTAGATTGTGCTATCACATCAACAACTATGTTGGCTGAAGTGAAGGGTCAAGATTTGATTTTGCAAAACCTTTTTTTGGAGGAGCAATTAATGCTATTCATTACTATTGGTGTTAAGCACCAGTATGAGTAGCAACGACACATAATTAAATGATAAATTCACTTAAATACAATATCACATAATTTATTTAGTGCTTGTTTGGTAGGGACTTTATTAATTGATTTTTTGACTGTTAAAGATAAAGTGAATCCTACTTGTGAGAGAAGAATTCAAAAATTACGGTTGTAATAGTAAAATAACGGTTAAAAAATTGATGTTAATTGGATTAAAATCATTACCAAACATGCTTTTAATTGAATATATCAGGTATGACAATCTAGACTGGTGCTAGATAACATTTTTTTTTTTTTTTTTTTTTGGAGACACTAGTATTAAACACTTGGGCATATACAAGAAGGAAGTCTAGTGTAACTTCCAATAGCACTAGTTTTGTGGGTTCTGCTAGTAAAATGATTGATGCAGGCAACGAAAGAGAGAAGAAATTGAGAATAGTTCAACAAAAAAGAAGAACCCGAGATGTCACCCAGCTTGGGTGATGAAAGCGTCGCTAATCACTGATGTCACTCAAGATGACTAAGTCCACAATTGATTAATTAAGAGAAAGAAAACTCCAAAATAAGACTACTGGAGAAGTAAATTTTTTCCTTCCCCAAAGCTGGTCCATTTCTGCTGATTTGCCCCCAAAATAAATCTAGAGACGTGACTCACAATTGATATATTAATGAAGAATAGACATTTTTTGGAATATTACATTATTTTAGATATTTTGATAATAGTTCCAAGACAAATCCAAAACATAATATTTTTGAAACTTACACTAGACCTATTGAGTAATTACAATCTAACCTAATCATGAACGTGTATCATTCTTCTCCACTTGAGAAGAAATCTTAATGCCCAAAGACAAGTCTTTTCAAAGTGCTTAGGAAATCGTCTAGCTCTTGAACTAAAATTATGCATCTTCAGAGTGCGAATCTTTGTTGAAATGATCCAAATACCATATTTATAGAATATCGATGCTTTCAATAGTAGAAGTTGTAGGCACATTGCGATGATAAATGAAAAGCTAGAAGCAACAAAGAGGTTGATACACCATATTCGTCCGTCAATAACAAATGATTTCGAAACAACTGGATCTTCATATTTTTTAATTTTCATTCAAAAACATTTAAGTCGTCGATCCATGTGCATTTACTGGAGGACATTATCTAAAATATCATAAAATAAAGTTGGCTTTCTGCAATTGCCTTGTAATAAAATCAATATTTATACAAAGCTAAGATAAACAGGAGAAATAGGTTGATTAAACATAACTTAACAGGGAAATATTTTCTGGAAATTACTCAAACATGCAAAACTTGGAATTCGCAACTGTGATGCCACCATCCACAAAAAGGTTGTGTCCATTCACAAACTTTGACTCATCACTTGCCAAGAACATAACAGCTTCAGCCACATCCTCTGGCTTAAGAAAAACACCTTTGAGGATGGAATATACACTACCAAATCCCTCATCGTCCATTTTGTAGAAATCCTTTGATTGCCGTGTAGGAACTACGTGTGGTGACACGCAGTTTACTCGAATGCCATATTTTCCAAGCTCCACAGCCATATTCTTTGTGAGTCCTACCACCCCATGTTTTGAACTTACATAATTGTGTGAAGAACCACCGCCTATTTTCGAACAAGTACTAGCTGTTGTGATTATGTTCCCACTGCGATTTGGGATCATCACTCGAGCAGCGTGTTTAGCACCCAGGAATGCACCTATGAGGTTTACATTAATAATCTTTTCGAACTCTGATTTTTCGATTTCAAGAATGCTTGGATTTGATTTTCCCCCAATCCCGGCATTATTGTGCATTATATCTAATTTCCCAAATTTGGAAACAGTTGTGTTAACTGCAGTTTCTACATCGGATTCATTAGTTATATCACAGTGGACAAAAGAGGCTGATGATTGTCCCAATTCCTTGCATACCTTCTCTCCCAATTCATCATTGATGTCTGCAATCATAACTTTAGCTCCATGTTTGGCGAACAGTTTGGCGGTTGACTCGCCTATTCCATTAGCAGCACCGGTGATTAGTGCTACCTTGCCTTGGAGCCTAGGTTCAAATATTTTGTTAGTATAACAAATTTATAATAGTCTACTGAAAACTTGTGTGACAAAATTCCTCAAGAATTAAATAATAGTTACATTTCTTTCTTTCTGTTTTATCAGAAAGCAGTGTATATGAACATTTAAAGAGTTATACCTTCTAACAAAAGTCGAAGCCATTTGTGAACTTCCCACACTTGAACTTTTCTTGCTGTGAAAGTGAATTTGTAATTCTCTGCACTTTTAAATGTATTTATAGTGCAAGGACTGTTAATCATGAAGAGGATACAGACACAAAACAACTATATATCTAAATCAATTTTCCAGCTAAGTGTGATGTGTTTCCAAGTCGTTATTTGTAGTTTTCTTATCACTAAGTTTTGTCTTGTAGTTCGTTTTGGGCAATGTCCCTATCATTGCCAACTTACTTGTCAAAATCACTACAATCTAATGCAATACAGCTAGTATATAAGAGCACAATAAGCACTTGGTTTTAATAGATCAAGCTTTGAAGGATCTAGGCATGAATTTTCATTATAGAGAAATAACTTCTTCAATTAGATGAACCAATAAAAATTGAGTACAATAAGCACTTGCTTTTTTGATAATTTATTTTACTTTTTTGGAGCGGGTTCATGTCACAAGCTCTTCCTGTTGTCCTGTTGCTAATATCGACGATCACGTCACAATTTGAATGGAGGTTCCTCTCTTTTTTTTTTTTTTCCTTTTTTTTTTTTTTTTGGTAACCATTTGTTATATTTTATTGGTAGTTGTGTTGTTTTGTTCTTATTTGTGCCAAACTCTCTTAAACTTTTAGTTGAACATTATTTTTGGTTTATTAATGCTTCAATTTTCTAGTTAGGTTACTCAATTTATTATTTAGCTTTAAACTTAGTTGCTAGATATTGTTGTTAATTGCTAGAATGATTTGATGAATTACTTAAATATTAGTTGTGAAAATTTGTTGAATAAGCTTTTTAATTGGTCACAATAATATGACAGAATTTCAATTTTTCAAAGTTAGTCACTTTGTTAGCTCCCGTTACTAAATTTAACATCTCAATCTAGTGATGTCAATGGATCGAGCCGGCTTAACCTCACGAGCTCGTGGCTCGTTGAAGCTTGACTCGTTGATTTTGGGCAAGCTCGGCTCTGCCCACGAGTTCGTCGCTCGTCCGAGCTCGTGAGTGACGAACTCGTGGGCTGAGCCGAGCTTTGGCTTGCGAGCTCGCCATCTTTTTTTTTTTTTTATAAAGAAAAACACAAATAATGTAATGAAAATACTTTTAAAAACAATAAAAAGTGTTAAAAAAATGCAAATAATTTAATGAAGACACTTTTTTCTTTTTTATTTCTATCATATTGTAATATTTTTTATAAAGTATAAAATATTTATATAATGAAGACGAATTGTTTTTTGAAATACATTTACAAAAAATACATTTTTTTCGATTTCTTTTTAAAGTAAATAAAATGTAAACCCTCCTCTTTTATCCGGGCTTGGGATCGGCTACATCAATTTTAAGTAGGTGGAGTTAAAAATTGTACACAAACAACTTGTTGTAACGTGTACAATTTTTAAAAGAAATTAATTTTAACGATTAAAAAATAAGAAAATTTTGATTAATATAATTAAATCAAATATCACTTACTTGACGACATACAATTTCAGCGTATTTATCTTAGAGTCGAAAATGAGCGTTATGTCAATTTTTCATGCACATTAACACTTTCAAAACATCTTTTTTTAGTCGGCTCTTGACATCAATCAAAACCCTTTTATTTACACTAAAAGTAGACTCCGAAACAACAATACTAACCGGAGGTGTCAGTAGATATTTCGCAATTCTAGAAACAATTAGCCAACGTCTTTCATATTTTCGCCAGAATTCAATTACTTCTTCTAAACTTTTTTTAATTGTTCTGTCTGATGGTATATTATGATTGAAGTAATCAATTAATTCAACAGGTATCACATTTTAAGTTGCGACCAATGTTTGATGAGATGCAAATGTAGACGAGATGACATTAGATGAACACATTGCAGTTGCATCATATCTAAATGTATTAATGCCTTGAAATAAATTCATTATTTCGGCATCATCTTCTTCAATTTTAGCCGAAATAGTAGATGCAGAGGATACCCAACTAACATTTGCACACATTCTTTCCGCATATAAATCTCATATTTCACATAATGTTTGCTCTAAATTTTTATAGGTGATAGGTATATTAAGTATTAAGGCTTTATTGATTTGATTAATTACGTATGTAGTTCCCCAAATATTATATCGGATGTCCATTGCGCATGCTAAAGAAAATAATATAAGCAATTCTTCCCAATATTTTCTAAACTTTAATTTTATAACAATTATAATTTCACTAAAAGCATGACAATTCTTATATTTATGGAATGTTCTTGCAATTATATAAAGGCGTTCAAACACCATACAGCTTGTGGATAATAAATGCCGGATAAAATTTTTGTGGTCTCATAAAAAAACGTAAAAAATCGTTTAACTTTCAAAGCTAAAATCCAATCTAATTCATTCAACGTACCATCATCATCACTTCTAACGTGTCTATTATTATAAAAATCAGTTATTAAATGTTTGAAACATTTACATGACTTTAATAGCAAGTAAGTATAGCTCCATCTATGACCTACATCGCTAACAAATATTTTAGCAATCGTCATCCCTAGTTCGGCACAAAAACCTTCAAATGCTTGTTTTCTACTAGGAGATATCGTAATATATACTAATGCTTTCATAACCTTTAAAGTTCATCCTTTATATGTTTTAAGTTATCTTGCACAATTAAATTTAAAATATGACATACACAACGAATATGAAACAAATACCCACCAAAATCAGATTGTAGTGTCCTACACAATTTATCGACGACTACCTTATTAACACTAGCATTATCAAAATCAAAAGATCGAATTTTAGTCTCGCAATTATATTCTCTAACAATATTGATAATAGCATTATATATATTACTAGTATTGTGAGGAAACTCAATAATTCTAAAAACAATATTTTTTTTATGTATGCACCAAAATGTGTCTATAGTGTGCGGTTGCAGCTATATATGCTCTTTTATTAACCCCTTCCATATATTAGAAATTAAAGATATAGCACTCCCATATTGTTATAAATCCATAATGAATCGTTGTTTTGAATTATTGAAATATTTTATTGTATTGGCACGAAAAGTATTTCGACTTACCCCAACGTACTTTGGTTGCAAATATTCTTTCATGAATGAGACGAAGTGTTGGTTGTTTGCAATAGTCAGAAGCAACTCAGTGGCGGCAACAAATTTCACAATTTCAGTCCGAGTATTGTCCTCCGAATACACCCATGTGGATAGGGGTGAAGTCGTAGAACCGGTGCCTGGACTGCTAAATTGCAATTGTGTTTGACCAGTTTGAAGAAGTCTATGTCTGGCCGCACATGCTTTGTAGTGGCAGTTGAGATGGGTGGTACTAATTCCTTTTTGCCATGCCAATCTTTTTTGGTAGTATTTATATACTGCCTTAGATTCTGCAAGGCCATCGACGACTTTTTTCGTTGAAATTAACTTAAAGTGATCCCAATATTTTGCTTGTTTTTTGCCCTTTCGCTTTTTCCTTGCATCTAGAATGTTTTATTTGACATCTGCGTCCTTATGTTCCGCTACGGGAACATTAATATCACTCAAATCAATTGGATTGTGGTTTTCATGACCGTAAATATGAACATCTTCAGGTATGGGTACGTTATTTAGACCGACAAATTCATTTGGAAATTGACTTTGCGGCGTTCTAGGCGATTTGCCATGTGGACCACATCCCGTATCGAATAAGCTCTCGACAAATGAGCGTTGATCCATTTATTTGATTGTTTATGATAAAATTCAAATATAATAACTAGGAAAATATAAATGTAGTGAGAATTGAGAATTGGATGACTTGAAATTGTAACTGAATAAACTGTAAAAAATGAATCGATATTGTATATTTTGCAGCACAAAAGAGTAAAAACTTGATAATTGATATAATAAAAGAGAGTTAAGAAATGAGAAGTAGTGATTGAGGAGATAACTGATATGAAAAAAGGGGGGGAGGGTTAAGGGGTATTTATAATAGAAGCAAAAAAAAATTTTAAAAAATATTAGTGACCAAACGGTCACTAAAAAAGTGACCAAAACGGTCTCTTGTTTTGGTCACTAAAGTCACAAGCCACGAGCGGCTCGCCTTTGAGGCGAGCACCTCCCGACGAGGTCGGCTCGGCTCGCGCTCGAGCTCTTGATTTTACGAGCCCAAGCCGCTCATGAACCCTATTTCGACGAGCCGATACCTTTTGACATCCCTATCTCAATCCTACATGGATGTCTTAAAAAGAATAATATTACTTGTATATAATAGTTTACATAAATGTGAGGTCATAAAATTGAGGGGGTAATTTTATATTTTTTTTTATTTGGTTGAAAAAATTTTGATCAAACCATATTTTATCACATTATGTATATGTAAACCATTATGTACATGTAGTGCAACGGTTGAAAATATATCCTTGACTACTATGAATGGGAAGATGACGTCATAAGAAAGGAGGAATACAACATTCAAGCATTCAAAACCATGTGTTGGAAGGGAAAGTAAAGACAAAGGAAATATTGTTGCTACGAGCACTGAGAATTCTGGTGTAGTGAAATCGGTAACAGGTATCATAAATGCCTCTAAAAGAAGGTTGAAGTTAATCATTTTACGGAAGAGCAAGACAAGAAGAAAATTTGCAAATCTTTGAAGAGGAATCTGATGGAGCAATTGATGAGAAAAGTTACAAGCCTGATGGAAGCGGAACAATATTTTCAGGACTTTATATTTGTCAACAGGAAAGAAATGTTGCTTGCTGATTGAAAATATAATGTTGAAACACATGATGGGGAAAAGTTAAAACTTGTGTGCTTATCCTAATCGTAAGGTTTTTGGTTTGAGAAAGAGGGGACAATGAACTGAACATTTTGAACCAGGTTCTGTATTGGAAAGTATAAAGATGAGCTTCAATTTATGCTCTTCCTATGGATGTCCGCCTCTTCTAGGTAGACAATATGATTGCAATGTGCCTTCAGCTTGAAGCTACCAAATAGATTGTTGATCGTCATTTTTTTTTGTCGTGGGTTGACAGAATAGTGATTTCACAGCAATATCTACAACTTCNAACTTCTACTATTGAAAGCATTGATATTCTAGATTTGAGGAGCATTACGGCCAATGGCAGAT